CACACACACACACACACACACACACACACACACACACACACACACACACACACACTTCCCTGAGCATAAAATACTCCCAAGGTCACTCATTTTCAGTGTGTCATATTTTGCTGCGCGCCGCCGTGCTAACCTTCTGTTTCTCGCACATTGCCTCAGAAAATAGCTTTTAGTGGCTTTTTTGTTGTCTGCTTGAGCAGCAGACTCAGAACCTTTGTACAAGGTTTGATCAAGGCCCTCGATGGCAGAAGAGTGGACAAGATGTCTGCTGAGCATCCTCAAAGGGAGAATTAGAAATAATTACTGAGCCCTAAATTCATCTCGTTCTCATTAAGTAGCTCATGACACGAGAGAAAATTTCTCTAAATTACATATTCAGTCACGCAGTGCATTTTAGAAACTTTTTTTCCCCATCTTGTCCAAGTTCACATATTATCACTTTAACCCTAATGGAAACTGTAAAGCTGTTTGATAGTTACGGTGCATTGCAGCTAATGTAGTTATATTTTACACAGACAAATGTAATGTAAGGTTTTATTAGTGTTCCTGTAATTATTAAAATGACTACAGTTGAATTTGAGTCCGTTCTGGAAATGCAGCAGCTCATAAACAATGAAATACATTATTCTGTACTTCTCTCCTTAATACATGTTATATTATTTCAAAGGTTTTTTAACTGTTAACCATAAGCTGTCCATGTCAACATTTTTGTTTCTCACTTCAAATTAGTGATGCCATAATGTTGCAAAACATGCTTATAATACACATAATAATAAACATAATGAGAAATGTTCCTCTGCACAAATTAGTACATCTCAAAAGTTTGAATATTGTCAATTTTTAAAAAAGTAATAAGTTTCTTTGAATTAAAAAATGTAAACTATCATCAGTTCTCCATTCATCATATTCATCAATATAGCCAAAATAACAGATTCCTGAAAATCAGTAATCAAGTGTCTCAAATGATCTAATTTGGGTTTGCATAAACAGCTATTCATACAACGTAAATACAGAGTATCACTCAGTTTAATTCAGTACATGTGACCTCAATCATGGACAAGACCGTTAACTTGAAACTTGTTCAAATGACGTGTGGGGTAAACCATAGAAGTTAATTCCAGAAAGGCTGGTTGTTCATAAAGTGCTGTATTGAAACATATCAATGGAAATTTGACTAGAAGGGAAAAGCATGGTAGGAAAAATCCTGAGAGTAAATGTCTGAAAACATTGATTCCAAAACTTAGGGAGCTTCATGAGTACTGGGGCTGGGCTCAGTATATCTAAAGCTAGATGTCGTCAAGATAGTAGTGGGAATGCTTGTGCCAAATCATATTGTCCGGAACAACAACACTAATCCGGGCATGTCTGAGAACAACACAGTGTGCTTCAATTTCACACCTAAAAAGAGAGTTACTTCAGCAACCTCCAACAAGCCACAGTACTTTACATAGTGTATGTGTTAGTGTGGTGGAAACAGAAGCTCACTGAAGCTCAAGTGTTTAAAGACTTTACTTTTTGTTTTTGGATGGGAGGCTAATGGCCTGTGGTAAAATTGGTAGACGTTAAAGTACTTCTTTGATATAAGAGGCTTTTACTATATATAGCTTTAAACTTTATGAATACTTTTCTTTTTCTTGTTTGTTAACTACATGTTCAAGCTGTTTAAGATAAGATAACCTTTATTAGTCCCACGTGTGGGAAATTTGTTGTTTATAACACAGACCAGGAGTCCTCAAAGATTGAGTCTTGGAGTTGTCAGTAACTTTCAATAAATCTGTGGGGGGAAAAATAAACTTGAGAAATATTTGTATCAAATGATTATAGTAAGCGTGCTCTAAGATAGTTTTGGAAGAAAAGAGCATAAGGGGTGTAGTCAACATGAAAGCATGATGGCTTTCAGTTTTGACGTAGATGAATTATCTGTTTATTAGTAGCGATCACTGGCATTTTACAGAAATTCATCTTAGCTAGTGGTGCCTTGACTTCCCACTTCCTTCTTTTTCAAAAAGGCTAACACCTATTTGCAGTTTTTTTTTTTTTTTTAAAGATGATTTTCAAAGAGGTGATCAAAGGACTCTTTGAAGATCCTTAAAGCAATAAGTATGATTGGGATAGGCCAAGGACATGTGTGTGGGTGCGTGCATTCATGCACGTGCCTATGAGTGATCCAAGTGCACGCACTGGCATAAGCATGTGAATAAAACTAGCGTCGATGCTCTTATTTAGTATTCATCACGAGGTGACTCTGTAGGTCATTTCATCAGATTAGTGGACTTGTGGTTAAGTCTCATTACATCCAATCAAGGTCAGACACTGTCAGAGCTTCTGTAACTTTCCCAGCCATTGATCCTCATGGCTGTGTCCAGATGAGTTTATGTGCAAGTAATAGAACGTCTAAGTTTGCTGTATACGCTTTCTTGCAAACATCAGAATAGTATTAACATTTTTCTGGAAACGTTAATGTGTGTTTCTGACTAATCTAGTTTTCTTTTAGTGCTTGACTACACAAGCAACCATATTTCATACTAGGGCTGGGCCATATCATACCGTTCACGGTAATACCGGTTTAATGTTGGGCAACGATAGAAAAAGGAAATATCGCGATAGAATATGGGTAAAACGCGCGTGCGCAGTGCCTTTGTTTTCATACGCATGGCGGCGAAAGCAGATCATTAAATAAAACGGATGAACCAGAATTGGTTTGTAAAAATGCTGCAACTTCAGTGGTGTGGAACTGGTTTAGCTTTCTTCCGTCAGATACACAACAAAGCACTATTTTTGGTAGCGCATGCTAGCAGGCCGTCGTTATTACTGTGTTTTTTGGAAAATACGGCACACTTAAAATCAATCCTTTGATTTTTCTGAAAATCGCCAGTGCCCCTTATAATCCCGCGGGCCTTATGTATGAATTCTGGTTGCGTTTACTGACCTGGAAACGATTTTATGTGGTACACGGCGCTGGAAAATCTGTCAAATGTTTTAGTACGACTTTGTTAAGCTACAAAGCCGCACCGCTTGATGGATTGTTGGAGCATCACGGCTGTTGTAGGCAAGAGCCTCGCGGAGGGATACGTACTGTGCTTCAACATAATATTACCGTATTGTGTGTGTATAACCTCTTTTTAAGTTTTGTGGATATTATACATGGTTATGCTGAGGATATGTCGGCCAATTCCCACTGGAAATGCTTTTTGGTTAAACTGTCAGCAAGGAATTTGCATTTGCACTGTTAAATTTTTATATAACTTTAATGCACATAAAAACATCAACGTATTTTCATTTAAACAAGCAGCTGTTTTGGGTTTTTTTGCACCAATAAAGTTGTGGAGTTGTAAAGCATTTTGTCTAGTGTCAATTATATCGTCAGTTATATCGTTATCGCAAATTTTCAAATGTATATCGTGATAAATATTTTTGGTCATATCACCCTACTCTATTTCATACATGAATCTACTTCACGTACTGTTTTGAAGATAGTCTTGGAGAAAAGCATTTAATATGACAATTAAAAAAATCTCGAAAAGATCTACCATTAATTGAGTGATACAGTCTATAGAAACAAGATCTTCCTTCACTAAGATCTTCCTTTTTTTCTGTCTCTCACTCAGAACACTTGACTTTGTCCTAAAGTATAGACTGAATATACCCCCCTTTCTTACAGCCTTCTACCGCCTTGTGTCACATTCTTTACTTTGTCCTTGTGATTTCTTCTGGGCAGTTTGTCTCCCACTTTCTGATCTGAGTTCAGTTTAAGTAATGCCTTTGATAGAATTGATTGCCCCAGGAGGGAATCGATGAGCTGATCCTCGAGACTCCAGGTCGCCTGCTGATTAACTATGGACCTCCGATGACGCCTCTGAAACCACACACGCACACTCTCACACTCTCTCTCCACACACGCACACTCTCACACTCTCTCTCCACACACGCACGCACACACAGGCGCGCGCACACACACACACACACACATACACACACACACACAAACACACAGACAGAGGAGAACAGGTTTGAGCCTGAGTGAAATCTGGCTGAAACTCTTCTGAGTTAATAAAATTCGGGAGTTTTTAAAGTAAAAGAAAAAGTCATAATCTAGTGATTTCCCTACAGAATCCACATTCATGAAATCCTGGAGGCGGTTTGAGCTGACATTGTTATCAGT